TTCTTCTCGGTGGTTCTCCTATTTCTTGGCGCACGAAAAAGCAAACTACGGTCTCCCGATCCTCAATAGAGGCCGAGTATCGAGCCATGGCCAACGGCTGTTTAGAAATCCGGTGGCTTCGCGGACTTCTTGCCGCACTCAAGGTTCCATGTGTAGCCACTCCGCGCCTATATTTTGACAACAAATCAGCGCTCTTCATCGCAGCTAATCCGGTCTTCCATGAGCGCTCTAAACATATTGATATTGATTGTCATATTGTACGTGAATGTCTCCAGCGCGCTCATATTATCACAGATTATGTTCCTACGAGGCTGCAGATCGCAGACATTTTCACGAAAGCTCTCCCCGGTCCACTTTTTCGCCCTCTTTTGTCCAAGTTGGGCATTTTTGATCTTCATGCTCCAACTTGAGGGGGAGTGTTAGCGTATATTGTATATGTTATGTATTATTTGTAATATTGGGCCACGTCTATTGGGCTTGTACCTGTATATATATTTCCAGTTGTATTAATGAAACACACACAGTTCAGTTCACAAATTCTACAAATTCTACAGGCAAGTCTAGACACTTAGGTGTTAGACATGCATGGTACATAATTTCATTAAGTATGGTGTAATATCGGTGGAGTTCGTAAGAACTTAGCACAACTTAGCCGATCAATTAACCAAAGGATTAAGAAGAGATCTCTTGCAAAATTCGGCTAAAGGGATGACATTAAAGTCCATATGATGTCTCTCATGTTAAGATACCGAATTCCTGCCTAATATGATGTTAGGTGTTGAATGTTGTGGGAAACCTTAACATCTGCCGATTGGAACACAATAGTAACTTCATCCGAAGGTATGTGCTTAAAACTACAGGTAAAAAAGTTTAAGTATATCTTCTTAATAGTTCTTTTGAAAAATTGTATGTGCAGGAAGAAGACATAAAAAAACTATCAATACGAGTTTGAAGTGTAGCCGCTTCACAAAGTTTGACTTGACTTTTATATGCTCGTTGAAGGATAGGGATACATGGTTATCTAGTGAAATATGGTGTCAAGCTTAGAACACTGAAGCACTTGAACTTATGTGTATATTATCTTCATGTATTCGAATGATGGCAAGGGCTAAGTCATTAGTGACGCCCTAAAATTCGAATATTTGAAATGCGTAATGTATTAAGATGAAAATTCAATCATCACAAAATTTTCATTTATGCATAAGTTTTTTTAATCTATTTTCTCAAGTATGTGAATCATGGATTACACTAAAATATGGGAGGAATATTGCTGATGTTAATGTCATCTACTATTTTATGTAATTTGATTTACTTAGATCGGATAAGAATTTGAATAAACATTGTTAAAGGAGTTAGGGGTGCGGATCACACACTAGTTTAGCGATATTACAAATTCATAGCGAGGGGCTAGTGGTGGCAGCCCCCGGTAGCGGGGTCCAAGGGGCAGATTCCCTAGTCATGACAACTTGGATTTTTTTTATTTTTGACAATATTGCTTTATGAAAATCCTTCAAATTTTCGTGAACGGATTCCAAGACGTTTAAAAATCAAACATATGGATTTACATCCAAAATTGGCCAAAAAATTGCAAGCAACTCTTTGCGCAAATGCTTCTTTGTGTGAACAAAAGTGTCTTCTCATGTTTTTCAGTTTCCATAAATAGAGATACGCTGGTATGGTTGAAGAATTGATTTCTAGTGCTTGTTATTAAATTAACGTCTTATTTGATTAAAGTATTTTGGTATGTCCTGAAATAACTTTGATTTGAAAGCTTTCTATGTAATTTTTTATAATATATCAAGTCGTTAATCTCATTCTTCATCCACCAGAATCTTTAACACTACTTCACAATGTTATTCTTGATATCTTGAAGGGGGCTAAATGTCACCCAAGCAGATTTGTAGAACACGCACAGAGGAAACACCGAAACGCACAAGATGTAGGCACGAAGCTGCTGCAACAAAAGTTATCGTGAAAGATGACTTAGGATGTGTTATAACATCTTTTGTGTCACTAGCGAAAACAATAACCAGAAAAGCAGTAAATGACACACAAAATATTTACGCAGTTCAGAGTAATTGCTTCTACATCTACGAGGTCCACGTCCGTGTAACAACCCTTAAACTAAATCACTATATATTTTATACCTACAAAAACAATAAACTCTATCTATGTATTGACGTAAACCTCTTACACGTGATTTGAGGACAAAATCTGTTTGCGTTCAAATCCTTGGCTTGTCACACCTTTTTCAAGATCTTTTTCAAGGACGTGTTGTTGGCCTACTCTCGTATCTGAATATTTATCTCTTGGTTTTTATGATCTGTTTTTTCAAACACACGTGAGAGGGAGACGTCGGGTTTTTTACAAGAGGAAAAGTACTAGTAGAGTTTCAGTAGGAGTCTCTTGTCCAATATTTCTTTATGCACAAGCTTTGCGTTGACTAAGCTAGCAAATCAGCACTCTATAGGAGAAAGAGTCATGAGCTCGTTCAGAAGTAATTGTAGCATGGACTTGGACTCTTCTAATCTTTATCAGTGAACAACGTTTCACAAGAACTCGGGCTCCTTGTAGCTTGAGATGATGGACATGATGCTACAACTTTATACTAAGACAAAACGACTAGATACAAAAAAAACTTTCTACACTTTTTGTTTTATCAAAAAATAATGCCAATAAGAGTTATGCAACTCAATACTTTTTCCTACATCATGTTTTTGGATGTTTGACTTTGACAGAGTCAAAATTGATTTAATTGACCTTTATTCAAAAAGGTTCTCATATTTAATTCATATTATTTATTCTCATGATTTATTTCAATAAATCATTTCAAAGTTCACATCATAACTAAATTCTCTATTTATTCTTAATTTGGGTTTGTACTCTGGTTCCCAATCATGATTACACAAATAGTCAACATATTGGATTTATCTCTATGAGATTTATCCAGATTGTGATATTGGATATTAAAACATATTTCATTTCGAGCCAAATTCCCACAATAATTTGTTTTAATCTAAACAATTTTGATTAATTGAATAATAATTCAATAAAAATTTTAGGGTATGTTTTGGGGCGTTACAGATGGTGTATCTTGTGCTAAATCACCTCTTCCGTTATCATGAATCTTCTTTTGTACTTGATCATCGACCATAACATTTATTGACTTCATGACGGTCTGCGTTCGTTTCTTGTATACCCAATAGTAACCAACAAATATGGCTTCATCACTTTCCAGCTTAAATTTTCTCTTTTGATCACGATCTCTTTGGAGGAAACACCTTGTCCCAAAGATATGGAAATGAGCTATGCTTGTAGTCATCTCTTTACAGAGTTCATAAGGTGTAGCCTTGGTGCTGCTTCTAAGATACAAATGATTTATGGTGCAACATGTTGTGTTCACAGCTTCAACCTAAAGGTTTTGAGGTAGATCAAAAGTCTTGATCATAGTACGTGCCATCCCCTGAACATGCTTGTTCTTCCTCTTAGCCACTCCATTTTGGCAAAGATTCTTTGGTGCAGAGAATTCATGTCATATGCCATGCTGATCGCAAAATTCTACAAATTGCTTATTTTAATATTCACCACCATGATCACTTCGAACATGAATGACCCTTTTAATGTTGAGTTGCTTCTCATTCTTGACCTTGTTACATAAGGCAGCAAAGGCATCTAGTGTGTCATCTGTGTTCAGGAAGCTCACCAATGTGTACCTAGGGAAGTCATCAACCACCATGAGAAAAAATTGTTTCCCTCCAATGCTCTCAGTTTTCATGGGTCTAAACAAATCAATATGCATGAACTCAATAGGATGTTTAGTTTATCTAGCCATCTTTCTTGGATGATTGTTGTGAACTTGTTTGCCAAGTTGACAAGGTCCACAGATGTCATTCTCCATTTTGATGTTTTTGGCAATCCTCGAACAACTCCGAAGATGAATGGAGTGGTCTGGTCTTTGTAATTCATGTGACCTTGTCTGTAGTGCCACAGTATGACATATCTCTCGCTAGTAGAATAACAAAATATGTTGGGACTAACTTGTAGCAATTATCTATGGTTATGTCACCTTGTAGCACAACTAGTTTGTTTCTATCCTTCACACGACACTTTTGGTGAGTGAAAGTCATTTCGAGTCTTTGGTCACATATTTTATTGATGCTCAAGATATTTACCTGTAAGCCTTGAACGAACCACACATTTTTTATAGGTGGTAAGCCCGAGACACTGAGGATCACATTCCTAATAATTTGATCATGTGCCCCACCACCAAACCTGGCATTTCCTCCTTCCATAGACTGTAGATTTGTTAAGCTGTATTTATCCCCCATCATGTGGTGTAAGCATCCACTGTCTAGTAACCATTGGTCTAGTGTGACACGAAGGCATGAGTTTGCATAGGATGCAGTATTTTTGGGAATCAACATTGCTTGGGTCTTTGTGTACCCCTTGATATGACTTGCTCTCCTTGTTCTTTTTACTTTCAATTTATTGCATTGTCTCTTGATGTGATGCCATTTACTGCAGTAAAAACACATGTCACTACTACAAAAAAAGGCAAAAAGACTGCCATCAATTGCATCGCATACAAAAATAACCGATGCAAAAGAGCAAAGGCATCGGTTGTTTTTTAAAAGCGATGCAATTGTTTTTTTTAAAATTAAATTTGGAAAAAAGAAATAAGTATTAGCATCGGGTATCTAACTGAACCGATGCAAATGCTCAATGGCACCGGTTGTACAAAACAACCGATGCTAATACCTATTATTTTTTTTAATTTTTTCAAATATTAATGCAAATGCATCGGTTGTTTGCAGGAGCCGATGCTAAAACTAAAGCTTAAAGTTTCAAAATTTTTAAAAATACAAAGGCATCAATGTTCTTTAACAACCGATGCCAATACTCTTTTGTATTTTGTTAATATAAATTACTAGTATATTGGACCGTAAACATACTTTTAAATGAGTTTATTTTATAATGTTTAAAACTTTATATGTGTGAAGGAGATAGGAGGCGGCACATTCTATCAGAGACGGTTAGGTTTAGTGAGAACTGGAACTCTGCTCTCGTCTACGGAGGAGACCGGACTGAAGGCTGAGCTCGACGGAGGAGACGGGACGGAAGACTGAGCTCTCGTCGACGGAGGAGAGAAACTGTGCCCACCATCTGCGCTGCATCTAACGCGAAGATTCTAATCTGACCTTTGCCGGACGGATATTGACGGCGGCCATCGAACTGAAAAGGTCCGAATCTTTGAACTATTTGTTGCCTTTGGGAAATTTCTTTTATAATATTGGTTGCTGCTTGTGTTGGTTTCGTCATCTTATATTTTTATTGTTGATGTGTTTTTGCTACTCTGACAGGGAATCCGTGATTATGATTGTTGGAATGTTTGATTATGTGGGTTAATTTAAGATTAAGTATGGATTCTCGAATTGAGTTTGATTTGGAGTTTGAATTGGGGTTATGTTGCTTGATGTTCTTGGGGTTATGTTGAATTGGGGTTATGTTGCATCTGTTTAACTTGGTGCATCTGTTTGTTGGATTCTTTCACTGCTTGCTTGCTCTGCTCTGTCGCTGCTGTTCATGTGCCATTATATATGCTAGGTATATGTTTTTCTTGAATAACATAATGCATACTATAAGTTAAACAAATAGGGAGAAAAATAGGAACGTAGGAAAATATTCATACTTACATTGGTAGGAGCTAAAGAGAGTTGAAATTGCAAGGGACAAAATAAGTGAACATTTGAAGCTAATAGCCACCATTGTTATGATTCGCTCTTTGTGTTTTTCTTTCTTTCTTTCTTTGAGGGAACTTGTTTATATATATGTGTGTGTGTGTGTGTGTGTGTGTCAATTGTCTAGGATGATCTTTTCATTGAATTTTTACTCAACTACCTATATGTTATTATGATAGAGTCATATATGATGGATCGAAGTTGGATTGATATGCCACGAACTTTGCCAGAGTTTTGTAAGGGTTTCGATGAGTTCCTTAGCTTCGTTCAAAAATATTCAAGGGAGGGAGAAATGATATATTGTCCTTGTAACTCATGTCATAACCATTTTATGGTCGATAGTGTTAAGGATATAAGACTTCATGTGTATCACAAGGGTTTTGAGTCGACTTATAAACAATGGATATGGCATGGGGAGACTGAAAATGTTGGTTCAACATTTAGTGGACGGGTGGATGACGACAATGACAATATCAATGGTTTCCGGGCTGAAGGGAACAACGAATTTGAGGATAATTCTGGCATGGCCCATGACTTTGAAAATGTTATTGATGATGAAGAGCGTAACATTTATGAGACTTTAGTACATAACTCAAAAAAACCGTTGTATCCGGGTTGTACTAAGTACACATGTTTGAAAGCAATGCTAGAGTTGTTCAATTTAAAAGTGGCAAACGGTTGGAGTGATAAAGGATTCACATCTTTGTTAGGTTTGTTGGGGGAGCTCCTTCCAGACGGACATGAACTTCCTTCATCCACTTATGAGGCTAAGAAAATGATGTCACCAATGGGAGAGGGGTACAAAAAGATACATGCTTGTCAAAATGATTGCATATTGTATTGCAACGAATATGAGGATCTTAGTGAATGCCCAATGTGTTTTGCTCCGCGTTATAAGGAGTCAAGCGACAATGCTTCTCTTAAGGGTCATGGCGGTAAATCAATGATTCCAATTAAGGTTATGTGGTATCTTCCGATAATACCAAGATTTAAGCGTTTATTTGCGAGCAATAAGAATGCTAAGAATCTTGTTTGGCATCATGAGCAGCGAAAAGATAATGGCACCCTACGTCATCCGGCTGATTCTCTGCAGTGGAAGACAATCGACGTCACTTTTCCTGAGTTCGGTAATGAGCCTAGGAATCTTCGTTTTGGGCTGTGTACTGATGGGATCAATCCGTTTAGAAGCCTTAGTACGCAACATAGCACATGGCTGGTACTGCTTGTGATATACAACCTTTCACCAGAGCTGTGCACAAAGCGCAAATACATCATGTTGTCTTTGTTGATACCTGGGCCTAAGCAACCGGGTAATGACATAGATGTGTATCTGGCCCCCATGATTGATGACTTGAAAAAAATGTGGATTCATGGTGTGACTGTATTTGATTCTCATCGTCAAGAGTCCTTTACACTGCGGGCAATGATTTTCTGCATGATCAATGATTTCCCAGCATATGGTAACCTATCTGGTTATAAAGTGAAAGGAAAGAAGGCATGTTCGATATGCGAGGAGAATACTTCAAGTGAATGGTTGAAGTATAGTCGAAAAACTGTTTTCTTGGGTCATCGTAGATTTCTCAAACGTAATCATCCTTATTGGCGTATGAGAAAAGCTTTCAATGGGAAAGCAGAAGACAATGTTGCTCCAAGGATATTGACCGGTAAAGAGATACATGAGAAGTTGAAGAATATAAATCATGTGTTTGGCAAGACTCAAAAACGTGTTGTAGATAGCCCAATTTGGAAAAAAAGTCCATTTTCTTTCAGCTTCCTTATTGGGAGTGTTTACCGGTTAGGCACTGTCTTGATGTGATGCACATCGAGAAGAACATATGTGACAGTTTGATTGGTACCCTCTTAAACATACCAGGCAAGACTAAAGACGGTGTAAATGCAAGAAAAGGCCTTGTCGACATGGGCATAAGAGCACAGCTTGCTCCGCAAGAGAGAGGGAAACGCACGTTCTTACCGCCTGCTTGCTACACGCTATCTAGACAAGAGAAAATTAGTCTTTGTCAATGTCTACAAAGTATCAAGCTTCCACAAGGGTTTGCAGGCAACATTAAGAGTCGTGTGTCAATGACAGACTTGAAATTAGTTGGACTGAAGTCTCATGATTTCCATATTCCGATGCAACACTTGTTGCCAGTGGCAATTCGAGCGATATTGCCAACAAATGTGAGGGGGGCGATAACGAGACTTTGTTACTTCTTTAATGCAATATGTAGCAAAGTGATTGACTCAGAAACTTTAGATGCACTCCAAGAGCAGGTGGTTGTCATTTTATGTGAGTTTGAGATGTACTTCCCCCCATCCTTCTTTGATATTATGGTTCATTTAGTGGTTCATCTGGTGAGAGAGGTTAAGCTTTGTGGCCCTGTATATTTGAGGTACATGTATCCTTTTGAGAAATTTTTGGGAATTCTTAAAAGGTATGTAAGGAACCGTTATAGACCAGAAGGTAGCATTGTTGAAGGATATGTGGCAGAAGAGCTTATTGAATTCTGCACTGATCATTTGAAAAATATTTGCACCATAGGGATACCCAAATCTCGTCACGAAGGGAGAATTGAGGGGAAGGGTACATTAGGGCATCACATCATTCATCTTGATTCTAAGATGTTTGATAGGGCACAATTGTATGTTCTGCAACAAAGTGTGGAAGTTTCTCCATATGTTGATGAACATATGACCCTTTTGAGGCAGATTAACCGTGGTAAAACAGAAAGGTGGATTGTAATCGAGCATAATCGGTCATTTTTGAATTGGTTCAAGGATCGTGTTAGCCAGCAAATGACACAGTCACCTGATATGGTCACAGAAGTTGTGAGATCATTATCAAGTGGGCCATCAGTGAATGTTTCATCCTATGAGGGATACTACATGAACGGCTATTATTTTTATACGAAGCGTCAAGATGACAAAAGTACGGTACAAAATAGTGGCGTGTCCTTGGTTGCTTCATCGTTACACATTCCAAAGTCTAAAGATTCGACCCCAATCAGGGCCGACAAATCATACTATGGAGTGATTGAGGACATTTGGGAGCTTGAATATACAACTTTTAATGTACCTCTGTTTCACTGTAAGTGGGTGGATATCAATAAAGGTGTTAAAAAAGATGACATGGGATTTACATTGGTGAATTTTCAGAAGTTGGGACATCAGGATGAGCCTATTATAATGGCATCACAAGCTACGCAAATTTATTACATTGTTGATCCCAAGGATAGTAATTGGTTTGTCGTACGCCAAGGTAAAAGATCCGTGCTTGCTCTAGATGAAAATGAAACCGATCAAGGGGATATGGGTATATACGACGAAGCAACCCCTATATCAATCGGTATCAAAAACTCACAATCTGATGATAGTGAAGAAATTTACATTCGGAGGGATCACGAAGAAGGGTTGTGGATAGATGAGGAGAATAAACAGAAGAGAAAACAATGAAATTGGTATATATCATATTGATTATAAACAATGTATTTACTTTTTGTGTGTACGTTTTATTCGAATATTACTTTTTCATTTAAACTTTAATTTGGTGCGGTGTTGATTTTACAAATTGACAGGTATGGCACACCCTCCCAAGAAGCATAGAGGATCTGCTAAGTGTGAGGCATTATATAAGCGGAAGAAGGAAGGTCATCCACCGATACAACTGCAGTGGCGGCACAGGCGTCCTTTTGCTGGGCCACATGTAGGAGTCTTCCCTTCCCTTGTTGGGTTTGAGGCGAGAAGCAGAGCTAGAATTGACATTACGACGTGGCCTTTGGTCCCAAAAGATGTTAAGGACACGATCCTAGCAGAGATTCAAGTAAGTTATTGTGTATGAGTATATAAAATTTGCATGTTCAATACGTTCATATTAACTGCCAATATTTTAAATGCTTGCAGACTATCTACGAAATACCTAAGGAGGGCATCAATTACACTCTGAAATTGGCGGGCGAGAGATGGCGTGCATTCAAAGTTAAGCTCCGTAAGGATTATTTAAAGCCGAGTGGGAAGAGGCTGGGTGAACATCCCAATTCTTATTACAACTTTGTGACACGAGAACATTGGGAGAACTTTAAAAATTATTATACATCTGACAACATGAAGGTAGCGTACACACCCCAGCCCCACCCTTGCTCCCCCACCCCTACAGTGCCCCGTTTGTAAAAATGACGATTCCTACCCCCCTAACCCTCCCCCTAAACGCCCCACCTCAACCCCACCCTTGTCCCCCACCCCAGCCCCCCCCCCCTCCCGCCTCCCTCCCTACCCTGGCAGTACACTGCCTGGCAGTGTAGGCAGTATACTGCCAGGGTAGGGAGGGGGGCGGGAAGGGGGCTGGGGTGGGGCGTTTAGGGGGAGGGTTAGGGGGGGTAGGAACCATCGTTTTTACAAACGGAGCACCGTAGGTACCCCAAACAATAAGATTAAATCCCTATTTTGTTAAGGTATTAGATTATTGAAGGTAAATTTGAGATGGTATTTGAAACTTTTTTGTAGGCCATTAGTGCAGCTAACACTGAGCGTCAACAGAAGAACGTGTATCCACATAACATGGGCAGAGGTAGTTACAAGATGTTAGAGCAGAAGATATTATCTTCAAGTAGCACCACTACTACCAAAAACAGCTCATCTGTCCCTCCTGACTTGTCGCGAGAGAATATGTGGTTATTGGGTCGTACAAAGGACAATCAGATACCCAACCCTAATGTTAGGGAAGTTGGCGAAAGGATAGTATGTACATTGTCTAGATATTTTTTAATGCTTCGTTATATGTATTTTTTGAAACATTAGTAATATTGTCAATATTTACAGGTGAAGTTGAAAGCTGATGCTCAAGCAGGGACATTCACGGCTGTTGGACATGATGACATTCTCACTCGTGCACTCGGTACTTCTGAGCATCCTGGCAGGACTAGAGGTGTCGGGTCACTCATCGGGCTACGAAATGTTTTTAAGGGGAAAAAGAAGTCTCAAAAGTCTGATGGAATGTTCATGACGCAAGACGAGTTGGAGCAGTTCAGGAACTCTGTCCTTAATGACGCGTTCACCATGTACACGCAACGACTTCCCCAGCTTCTTCAGTCTCTTGGAGTTCAAGTGTCAGGCAGCATTGAGAACATTGCCAACATTTCGCAACAATTGCCCATGTCTACACCACAGTTTCAGCAGAGCAGCAAGGCTTCGGTAGATCCTNGTCGGGCTACGAAATGTTTTTAAGGGGAAAAAGAAGTCTCAAAAGTCTGATGGAATGTTCATGACGCAAGACGAGTTGGAGCAGTTCAGGAACTCTGTCCTTAATGACGCGTTCACCATGTACACGCAACGACTTCCCCAGCTTCTTCAGTCTCTTGGAGTTCAAGTGTCAGGCAGCATTGAGAACATTGCCAACATTTCGCAACAATTGCACATGTCTAAACCACAGTTTCAGCAGAGCAGCAAGGCTTCAGTAGATACTGACCCATTTGTAGACCTTACTGAGGTAAACCTTTTTTATATGGACAAATTTATGTTTTAAAGTCATATTTATTAAACTTGTGTGTTCTCATTTTTTGAAGATGACTCGTTGCCACATGAGTATTACTAAGCCTATTGATGCCATAGTGGCACGTGGATCAGTATTCCCGTGTTCTCCAGGAGTGTCCCTTCACAATGCTCCCCTCCCATACGACCATGTCAAAGTATCTGTGGATGTGGTGCTTGATGGTATGGGGGACTATCCTATACCGACTCCGACGGATGAGCACACCACTGTTTCTTCGACTTTGGGGAGCATGTGTGCCTGGCCAAAAGCCTTGGTTCACCTTGGAGATGTAAGTATATATTAATCTTACTTCTTCGGACTTCTTTCGTTCTATTATTTATTATTTCAATTCTATTATGACCTTATAAATGTGTATATGCAGCCTCCATTAGGGTCTCCTGTCCTACCTACCTTGAGGGGCATGGGATCTTCTACTAAAGGATTCTCCCGTGTATCAGCGTACTCGGAGGATTCTCCCAACCTTAGTCATCATTTCTCGCAGCAACTCGACTCTCATCATTCATTTAGTCAACATTCCTCACAGCAGCCTCATACTCATACTGAGCCTCCCTCCCAGCGTGCCGTTGAACCCGGGCTCTATGCGACTTTAGGTCCCAGGTGTAGGGATTTGTGCCACTGGTTAACACGAATAGAGGACCTCACAAACATTGAGATCTTGATAGAACCTTGGGCACTAGGCTATGCAGAGGAGAGGGTGTTCAGCATTAATCCTGAAAACATCAAGGAGTTCTTGCGATGGGATATGATCGATAATAGCATCGTCGAGATCTTTATGAGGTATACTTACATCTTAATTTTAGACACTCAATTAGTTATGTATTCACGTATAATGACTTATGTATTTGTATCTGTGTGTATGACTTATCTACAATGCACATATATATTATACTATTCGAAGACACTTGTATGGCTACATGAGGACCCACGACATTCAGAATGTCGGGTTAGTGTGTCCGGACGATCTCCAGCATATGGTAAAAAATGGAAACCGTAAACCAGTGGAAAGGATGTTGCTAGATCATAAAGAAAAATCTTGGGTTCTTCTTCCATTCTTCTGTGAGAGAACGTATGTAATCTATACTTGATTTTATAACCTATTATGGTTAGTAGATTTTTTTGGTTTATAATTAAGTAATAAGGTTTTGTATTAATCGCAGACATCATTATACATTGATAGTAATACGTTATTATGAAAATAAAGTGTATTACTTCAACTCAGCATTG